ATTTTGAAGAATAAAGATGGTTAAAAAAAAATACATATGGTTCAGAACGGATTAACCTTATGGGAAAATTTCATTCGGTTCGCAACCAATTCAGTTTGCGACCAGAATCGTGGGACGAATTAAGTTTGTGAACCAAGGCGCCACTGTACCTTCCAGGAAGCCCCAAACCCATCTACACTTTCAATGGGTTTTCCATTGGATAGCATGAATTTGTCCTTTGACCATTGATGTTATCAGTCAGACTATACATATGTCCCCAGAAAGGGCTGGGAACAGTCTTATATATATATGAAGACTCTGTCAATGTCAACTTTTCAACAGTGAAGCCAAAAGATGTCTGGACAATAATACTATTCCCTTCTTAAGTGATCCATCATTTCCTATAATATTTATATATGATGTAGATCACGTTCTAAAGGGAACGCCTCAGGCATTTTACTGTTGCATCAACCAGTCCTGCATGTTACCTTCCCAGGAACAGGAATGCTAGAGCAGGTCTGTCTTCATGTATAGCTGATTAACCAACAAACAAAAAAAACACCTCTTAATGGGCAATGTAAATGAGGAACAAAACAAAAATAATGAACTCTGGCAGAAGCCCTTGAGATGTTAACCTGGCTCAAGCTAAGAATTCAGAAAGATGAAACACACTTTGGGCAGATCCCCTATTGCATATTGTGGCAAATGCTACGAAGAAGTTTTTCACAGAGATCTCTGCATGTAGACATAACAGGAGGGCGGCTACAGCAAACGCCCTTAAACACATATTTGCCACGGGTTCATATGGGAAATGCAGCACCAGACAGGCAATGGCCACCACAGACTGACATCTTCCTCAACCTCTTTTCCCTCCCCACCGGTGCTCTAATGTGGATAACATTATGCATATATTGGTGTGGGATTAGAATGAAGTTGAAGGCTTAAAATTTAGAAATTGGTACAGTGGTACCTCGGGTTATGAACACCTCTACTAACGAACATTTCGGGTTACGACCAGCTTCGGCAGGAAAATTTTACCTCGGTTTACAAACTCGCCTCGACTTACGAACCGGATCCGCGGCCATTTTCCCGGCTGCCACGTGGTCGCGGCTTCC